TGCCACCTAGCTGACAAAGGGAAACAATTATATTAAAATCATTATCAAAATTTGTTTAAAAAATACAAACCTCTGGACTTTCTGGCTGTATCATTCTGTGATTTTGTGTGAGAGAGAAGGTAGTTATTGGTCAGAGAGATCAAGGAAAACTTCCTGGTGGAGCTGGCCATTGAACCAGGAATTACAAGATGGGAAGAAACTTAATAGGCACAAACAACATTGTGAATAAAGAAAGATAAGAGGTGGGAAGGCACCATTTGTCTTCAGAGGCAGAGTGTGGTCTAGTCTGCCTGGAGCACAGAACACTTGGAGTAAGAAGAAAGACACCTGGAGAGGAGGGGGCATGGCACCAGAACGCTGAAGGCCTTAACCCTCCAGCAGAGAGGAGTTTGATCCATGGGGAATAGGGAGGCATACGACTGGACTTATGTGAAAGATTATTCTGGCCATGACATGAAGAATGGTTCGGAGGCAGGAATACATGTGTGATTGGATATATTGTGGCTGGAGAAGTAGTTATGCCCACTGAAACAATTTTTCCTGGTATCTTACAGGTCCGGTACATGAAGATCATTGAGAAGAGTGGGTACCAGGCCCTTCCCTGGGTTCGGTACATCACCCAGAGTGGGGGTAAGAGCCCAGACTAGGGGGTAATAAGTGATTAGGGGTATGATAGATTCAGCCCCTGGCTAGGTCTGGGCTTCTCTTCTCGGAGTTCAGTGCTACTTTCCCTGTCTTCATAGACTAAGGATATTGGGGAGTACTAAGAATATTGGGGGATAGGAAGGGAGGAGAAGAGGGAGGAAATGAGGTGTTCCCATCCCTACTTCAAATCACCACTCTAAGGCAACTGTCCCCTCTCCTTTTAGATTATCAGCTTCGGACCAGCTAGAAAAGAAAGAGACCTTGGAGCAGCAGAGGCTGACATCTTACCCTGTGGACCCTCCTGCCCAAAGTTTTGTTTTAAAGAGTGTATTTTTTTGTGAGAGTGAATGGCCCCTGTTCTTATATCTATTTGAGAGGCATCCATCCCATCTGTGACTGTGAATGGGAGGCAATCCTGTCTGTGTGTTTAGGGGGCAGCTTTGGCCCTCATCTGTTTGAGGGGCGCCTGTGGTCCCTGTTTGTGAAGTCTGCCTAGTCTGTATTTGGGAGGGTGGGCATTCGTGGCCCTTGTTGTGAGTCTCAGCCCCTTCATTATCCCCACTTCTGATCTGGGGGCCCAAGCCTGGGGGCAACCTCAAGTAGCTGGAGCCTCTTAGGTGGGATTTTCTCTTACTGGAGAAGGTTGGGGGCAGGGGAAACAGGGGTCTCCTTAGAGCTCTCTCCTTCCAATTTTTATATGAAGTAAAGGTGGGGGAACTGATTTACCCCCACCCCTCCCCCCACTGCCTCAGTGCCTTGTCAGGAGAGCCTGTTGTGCCTTTAACCCCCTGAATTTTCCACCCTCCTGCATTCTGAGAGTGGGTTCTTTGTTTCTCCTCCCTATCTAGTTATTAGGATTTAAGATTAAAGAAAGTTGAGACCTGATCAACCCATTGTAGTGAGTAATCTGATTTTGCTTCACCTTTGAGAGGCAAAGGAGCAGGAGAAAGAGGGTGGCAGGGTCCTGGGGCTGACCTGGTAAGAGGAGGCAAGGACGTTGTAAAGGCAGATAGAACACTGTTCTCTCGGGGTGGGATGGTCCGAAGTAGGGGACCTATAATGGGGTGGTTAGGGTCCTCCATCTAGATCCTAGGACGTTGGTTTCTGAGTTATGGTATCATTGTATGTGAGGGTGAATGCGTAAGTCTTTAGTGTGGATATTGCTGGGGCACGAGGAAGGGTTCGGAGTCGCTGTCTTTCTGCAGGAAGCAGCAGAATTGGGGGAGGGTCTTGTATTCCAGCTTGGTTGGGATGGGGATGGAGTGCGGTCCTGGTTCCAGCTGTGTCAGAATGAGGGGTGACACTCGTCGCTGTCCGGACCCCTGGGCGAGAAGAGGACCAGCTCTGACCCTGACCCGGCTGCTGCTCCCTCAGTCAGTTACCTCGGGAGCCTCTTTCCCGCCTGCCTCTGGCATTTGAAACTGAAAACCCCGCCATTACCGGTACCCGGCCGGTCGCCTCCAGCCGACCAATCAGGAGCGACGCTGTGTGCCTCTGCTTGCGAAGGCGCCCCGGAGACGCGTCACCATTGGTCGGGATGGAGAACAAGGCGGGGTCTCGCAGGGTCGGGAGCCGGGCAAAGGGGACCGATACAAAGTGTCAATTCGTAAGAAAACAAATACTCCGCGTACTGAGCGGCCCACGTGGGGGCGGCGGCTCCACCTCCTCACGTCCTCGCCACTGCGGCCGCTGCGGCCAGAGCTCAGAGTGAACCCCGCCCGCTCAGAAGGAGGAGGGAGGGTGAGTTGGGGGGGAGACCCCAGGGGAGCCCAGCCCCCAAGGGGCGGGGGCCGGGCAGGGCTGCGGAGGCGGAGGAGCCTTAGGAAAAGGAGTAGGATTGGGCCTCCAGTCTGCCCTCCCAGCCCCCTCTCTAGATCCCGGCTGACAGGTGGGAGGAGCCCGCTGGGGAGGGGTCCGGGTTTGGTTGCAGGCCGCCGGCTTTAGACCGAGACGCCGGTGCAGCTGAGCCTGGGTCGGGCAGGCTCGAGGGGACGGCGGTCTGGCTCCCCCCTGCGCTGCTTCTGAACCTCTCCAGGCGCCGGGGGCCCACCGCTCGCCTCCCGAGCCTGGGAGGCTGGGCTGGGCTGGGCTAGGCTAGGCTGAGCAGAGGGGCCACACTGCTGCCGGGAAAGGCCGTGGCACTGTACTCCCGGCCTGACCCCGCTCCGCGCTTACTCTCTCCTGTTGGATCCAGGCTGCCAGGCCTGTAGGTCGGAGATGTTGCTAGAGGAGATAAGCGCCGGGGACCGGCTCAGCGGGGCTGCCGCCCGGGGAGATGTGAACGAGGTGCGGCGCCTCCTTCACCAGGAATTCGTGCATCCCGACTCCCTGAACCGCTTCGGCAAGACCGCCCTGCAGGTGGGTCTCTGTTCAGAGAGGACCAAGGGGGAGGATGCGGCGGCTGCTTAAGGAAGACTGCTTGGTGGCCTGGCATGGGGGTGAGTGTGGGAGGGAAGGGGGAACTCACCTCACCATCCTGGTCTTCCTTCTATTCCTCCCTTTTAGGCCTGGATGCGCAGAGCCTCTCTACTCTTTCTTTTGCCCGAATCCAACACCTCTCCTTTTGTCTCGATTCCTTAGGTCATGATGTTCGGGAGCTCGCCCGTAGCTCTGGAGCTGCTAAAGCAGGGAGCCAGCCCCAACGTCCAGGACGGGTCGGGCACCTCCCCGGCCCACGACGCAGCGCGCACAGGGTTCCTGGACACTCTTCGGGTCCTGGTAGAACACGGCGCTGACGTGAACGTGCCCGACGGCTCCGGGGCGCTGCCTATCCACCTGGCTGTGAGGGAGGGTCACGCTGCTGTGGTCAGCTTCCTGGCCGGGGAATCCGACCTGCAGCACAGGGATGCCGGGGGCCTCACGCCCCTTGAGCTAGCTCGGCAATGTGGAGCCGGGCAGTTGGGGCGGATCTTGGAGAGGCACCTCCCTACTCCATCGTTGTGAATGTGGGGGCCCTTCAGCAGCCAGGACAACTGGATGCCACTTGGCACTGGTGGGACCAGCCCCAGGAAGCCCCGAAACAGAGAATAGGGTAGGGTTGGGGGAAGGTCTGTGTCTCTGGGAGGATGAGAATGGATAATTCTCTTCCTATTTCGTGCCCACCCGAGTGCTGAAGGTCTATCTCCTCCCCGCCCCCACCCCTACCCCGAGTTATGGTTTGTTGGTGTTTATTTGTGTGGTTATTTTTCCTCTTCGGTGTGATGTGAAACTTGGGGGAGGGCAAGGGCTGCAGAGAGCCAACTGAGCAAGCAGACAGTCTAGGACTCTTGGCCCTAGCCCAGCTCCTGGATACGGCGGGGAAGGTGGCCTGATCAACGGTTCAGTTCTGCCCCTCTAGCCCCTGCCCCTTCCCTTCAGGCTGGCACTGCTCACGGGAGCGCTGGGCCTTTTTTGATGATCTAGGGCAATGCCCTGGCTCTCTCTATCCCCAGCCCGGTCTAAAGTGGTTGGAGGCTCCTTTTTCCTCCCACATTTCACCCCACCCCCCACCCCAACACCTCAAGGGATTTCTAGGTTCCCAGAAGCAGCTATATTTTGGCAAAGTCACTTCAGGGGTGCTGTAGGGAAGAGAAGGGCACTACTTCCTTTTGCAAACCCAGGAACACAATTTAATTTTGGGGGATCAAAATGAGAGAATGGTGGCGGGGGAGTGTTCCGTTTTCTTTCGTTGAAGGCCTCTTTCCAGCCTCTTGTACAGAGTTTTTAAAAGATTCTATTTATTATGCTTTCTGAAGAATGTTGTGTGGTAATTTAATGTTTTTAACCATTAAATTAATATTGAACATTCCTTGACGGACTAGTTTCTGCCGCATGTTTTTTCTTGGTGGGAGGTATTGAGGGAAGGAGGAGTATGGTGGGAGAGAGGGGCTCCATTTTTTTCTTTTTCTTTTGGTTTTGTCTTCAGTGCAGCACCCAGAGAAGGGGTTCAATTATTATTTGTACTGGCCAGCCCTAGAGGGCTATGGGGGAGGGCGGGGTGATTCCCAGGGTCCAGCTGGGGTTGGGTGGGGCAGTGGTTTGGGCATCGGGAACGGAAGGGTGGCAGGAAACCGCGAATGGAGCAAGAGCCCCCAGCTGTGCCCTCCGAGTGGCGCTGGGGAGGAGCCAGGACTTCCCCCGCACCTAGGTCCCAGTAGCCTGGACCTCTGGACCAGCCAGCTTAAACCAGCAATTCATCTCTGAGCAGCTCCGGGAGCAGGATGAGGGAATGGTTAGGGTCTCCTAGGCCCCCAGGGATGGGTAGGAGGTGGAGTGAGAGTAGGCGGGGGGTGGGGTTGCGGCTGCGGAGGGGGGCGGGGCTCCCACTATGCTGCTCCTTTAAGACCTCCAGGTAGGAGGAGTCCGCGCCGGCGCGGTGCAGAACTTCCTTCCCCCGCCCTGTCCAGTCTCGGTGAGCCGCCATGCCCGAGCCGCGCGGACAGTGCGAGCTGCGGGTGAACGAGGCCTTTGCGGCGCGGTATGGACGCTACAGGCAACGCGAGGAGCTGCAAAAGCGTGAGTGCGGTGCATGCGCGGGGGCAGGAGGCCGGGCGGATCGGCGTGGGGTGGGGGGGAAACGAGGCAGGGGGAGGGGTCCTCCGGAGCCGCGTTGACTTTCTTCCCTTCTGCCCCCCAGTAAAGGACCGATACGGGGACCGCGGGAGCGGCGCCGAGTCCAGCTCGGACTCCGACTCAGACTCCAGTGAAGAGCGGGTGGTGAGGACTCGCCCACGGCAGGACTGGGCCCCTCTAGCCCGCCCCCTTACACACGTGGGATTGTCTTCCCTTCCCCCGAGCTCTTCAACTGGGGTTATCTCCCCCCAGATATCTCCAACGAGGCACCCCCACCGAGATGCACCCCTCAGGCATCTCCCCCAGACACCCTCACTTAGACATCCCCAACCGGGCATCTGCTCCCCCCTCCCATATCCCCACTCAAATATCCCCAGCCAGGCAGCCTTCTCACCTCCCCCCCCACCATATCCCCACACAGACATCTCCTCCAGTCTTCCCCCAGACATCCCCAGCTAAGCATCCCACCACCCATGTCTCCCCAGACATCCCTAACCAAGCACCCCACCCCAGTCCCCAGATATCTCCCCAGACATCCCCAATCATCTCCCCCAAAATGTCCCTACTCAGACATCACTTCTTCCTCCCTACTTACTGCAGTTCAAGAAACTGTTAAATGGATGACCTGGATCAGGAGGTTCCTGTAAAGTTCTCTCTCCAGCCCTTAAATTCTGTGATCCCCTTATTTAAGGATATCTCTTCATACACTCCATGGGAAAGGAGCTCTACCTAGGAACTGATCCTGTCTTGATCCTTTGGTAGGAGTTTGACCCAGAACTTGACAAGGACTTTTACCGAACCCTGTCCCTGTTGAAGAAGAAGGACCCCAGGATCTACCAGGAGGGTGCCACATTTTATAATGAGGCTGGTAGGCTGCTCTCTTCCCCATGAATATTCTGGGATGGGGGATTGGGGGGGGGAATAAAGCCTTGCTTGGTGGTGTTGGGTCTGGGATAGGGGACCTGCCAGAGGCCTTCCCTGAACAGAGAAAGAAGAGATGTGGGCTGGGGGTGACTTTCATGATGCCTCATGTAGTCTCTTTCTGGGGTCATAGAACCCTCTTCTTCAGGGGAAGATGATAAACTCTCAGAGAAAGAGAAGAAAAAGAAGAAAGAAAAGTCCATGTACTTAAAGGACTACGAGAGAAAGGTCATTTTGGAAAAGGAAGGGTGAGTTCTGATGTGGAAAAGGGAGTGGGGTAGGGGAAAGTTCTTTGTGTCAGAGCCAAGGGCAGATTGACAATCAGTCAATCAATAAACATGTATTAAGTGCATACCAATATGTTGGGCACTGTGCTAAGGGCTGGACATTCAAGAGGAGGTAAAAGACAGTTCTTGCCCTCAAGGACAGGCTAATGGCTTGTAGCCCAGAGAATAGGAGATTTAGGGGATCAGAAGAGCTAGCTTCAAGTATCTGCAGGGCTGTCCTGTGGAAGAAACACAACTAGAACATTTCAAATGTGTATTTTTAAAGCACTGATCTGACCATATCATCCTTCCTCCATCAAAAGTCTCATAAATCTTCCATGTTATTGCCTCTAGGATAAAATAGAAAAGCTTTTGCTTGGTATTTGAAATCCTCTATAATCTGTCTATCTCCTACTAGTCTTCTTTTTCAGTCCTCCTTTCGCTATACTTTTTTCCCCCATAAAACTGACTGAGTAACTGTTCTCTGTAGGTGACCTACTTCTCTCACCTCCATACCTTTGCATAAATGGTTTTGCCCACCTCCATACACACCCCCATTCTCTCTTCATTTCTGCCTCATAAAATCTCCAAGTGGCCTTCAAAATACAGCTTAAGGGCCACCTCCTATTGGGCTAACCGTTTAGGGTGAACTGTACCCCCACTGCCCACCCAGCCTCACCTTTCCCTGCCTCCTTAAGGCTAGTGCCTTCCTTCTGGTGGTCATGTCCAGTTTATCCCATCTGTATCTTCTTTGTGCAGAGTTATCTGCAGGTTGTCTCTCTCATTTCCACTAACTGTGAGCTCCCTGAGGACAGGTACTGTCTTCTGCTTTTCTCTGTATCTATCCCCAGTGCTTAGCATAGCGCCCGACACGCAGTGGTTGTTAAATAAATGCTTGTCAACTGACAAGGTCTTTCCTACTCCCCCTCCCTTATGTTTCTTTTTTTGGGGGGGGAGGCAGTTGGGGTTAAGTGACTTGCCCAGGGTCACACAGATAGTAAGTTTCAAGTATCTGAGGTTGGATTTGAACTCAGGTCCTCCTGACTCCAGGGCTGGTGCTGTGTCCACTGTGCCGCCTAGCTGCCCCTCCTCTCTTATCTTTTGCAATCTCTATGTATGTATGTACCTTGGATTTTCTTGTGAATGGATTGTCTCTCCACCCAACCCCATCTGTCGTTGTTTCCCTACTGCTTAGCACTGTAGGACACATAGTAGTTGTTGGTTTTCAGTCGGGCCTGACTCTTCTGTGACCCCATTTGGGGTTTTCTTGGCAGAGATATTGGAGTAGTTTGTAATTTCCTTCTGCAGCTCATTTTACGGATGAGGAAACTGAGGCAAACTGGGTGAAGTGACTTGCCCAGGGTTACACAGCTAGTCATTATCTGAGGCCAGATTTGAATGCAGGAAGATAGGTTTTCCTGACTCCAGGCCCAGCACTCTGTCCACTGAACCACCTAGCTGCCCTGACACACAGTAGTTATTTAATAAATGTGGACTGCTTGGCCAGTGAGAGCTATTTTGGCTCAATGTAAACTTAAGACTTGTGGCTGTCCCAAGGGGAATGGGATACGTCACAGTGACTTCCCCTTCCCAACGGCCTTCAGGTAGAGATGGGATGGCCACTTGTCCACAGGGTTGTTACAGGGCATCACTGCTCCCATTTGAGTTGGGCTCAGGTGACCTCTGAGGCTCCTTCTATGGTTTTTAGTTGTATGAATGGCTTCAGGCCTCAGTTAGAAGCCACCAGGACTGAAGGAAGGAAAGAAGGAAACAGGCATCAATTAAGCACTTCACTAAGTACTTTGCAAATATTTCATTTGATCCTCACTAGAACCCTGGGAAGTTGGTGCTATTATCATCCCCATTTTATAGTTGAGGAAACTGAGGTAGACTGGGCTTAAGTGACTTGCTCACGGTCAGGAAAATGTCTGAGGCTGGATTTGAACTTAGGTGTTCCAACTGTGGGCCCACTACTACTCTATCCATTGGCTGTAGGGGATGAGGACAGAATACTAAACTGAGGGAGGGCCTGGATTCAAATTCTTGTTCTAACCCTTTGTAGTTTTGTAACTTTAGGAAAGCCACTGTATTTCCTAACCTAAGCCTCAGTTTCTTGATGTGTAAAAGAAGAGATAATCTTTACACTTGCTATTACCCCAGGGTATTGTGAAGAAAGTGCTTAAGACACCTTAAAACACCATGAAAATGGGAATTGTTACCATGGAGGCAGTTAGGCTTGGAGTCCAGGGCCGTGGAGTCAGGTGTCTACATGGCCACATACTTATAACCTTGGGCAGGTTATAATCTTTATTTCTTCAAGCTTCAAGTGCCTTGTCTGTAAAATTTGTGAATTGAACCAAGTGGTTTCTTAGGCCCCTTTTGGTTGTAGCAGAGTAATTCTGTAAATCCGTTCAGGAGCCCTGGAAGCCCTGATGTGTTTTTAGTGGCTTTGGCAGGGGTCCTTTTGCAGCATTAAGGAAGGAAAACTGTGTCCTCACACACCCACTGGTATCACTGATTTTCCTATAGGAGGTACATAGATGAGGAAGACTCTGACCAGGAAGCTGAAAGGCAGAAGCAACAGGTAAACTTGTATTTGTGGCTGTAACACTAGGTGTCATGTTGGGCATGGAGTAAGAGCTTAATAAATGCTTCTTGGTTGGATGATTGATTTGTAAGGGCCCTATCTTGTGGCAAATGTGGGGGAAGGGTTTTCTGCATTGTCCCTGGATGAGCCTGGGAAATGAAGGGCAGGCTTGCCGGCCAGTTCCCTGGTGCCCCCTCCTTGGGGTGGAAAGGTGGACCTGACCCCAGCAGCAGGGAGCTGTGGCCACAGGGGCTCGTGTGTCTGGGAGGAGGAAGGGCTCACAGCAGCATCCCAAGGGCCTTTGCTGCCCAAACAGCTTTCCTTGTTCTCTTCCCTGCCCAGCAAACCACATCCCGAAGTTACATCGAAGAGCAGAAGTGCCTCAAGGAGAGGTATGTTTGTTAACTAGACAGATATAAGCTTTTGAGAGGCTGCCAGGGGGTGCCTATTGGGGCATATGCCCACATTCACACAGTGAATGATCAAGGAGAGACTTAATCCAGGTTGCCTGACTCTGCATTGGAGTTGGACACCATTGGCCGGCACTTCTGCCAATCTGGCCTTGTTGGGGATGGAATACCACTAAAGGGTCTCTTCAGGTTCCATTCGCTTGATCCAAGTCTGGTTTCAAACCCTAAATGTATCAGGCTGCCAGAGATCCTCCATGTGTCCTCCCCGTTAGGTAACATAAAAGCCCAAAGAATTTAAAAACATTTTTAGGGCTTTTTTAAGCCCCTGAGTAAAAGCCAGTCACCAGGATGTGTAAAAAAAAAAAATCCTAATTTCACATTTATTATCAGAGAGCTATGGCAGGATAAAGGTTAGAAAATCCTTGTGGGATTCAGGGTAGGGCAAGAGATAGGAAAAATTCCCGGCCTTGATTGCCCCCTCTGTCTGTGAACAGCACCTCCTTCCCTGGCCTCTGCATCCCTCTTCAGCCCCAGGAGCCTCTCCCACCATATTCAGGCTGGCTTTGTGAAGTGGGCCAGAGTGCCCAGAGTGAGGTTGGGGGCTGTGGGCTGGGGAGGTGTGCACAGCCCTTCAGCCAGGGTTTGGCTGAGTGTTCATCTGTGCTAGGGCAGCTTCCGGCAGTTTGTCGAAGACAGCGATGAGGAAGAAAGTGCTGGTGAGGGTGGCTCCAGTCTGCTGAAGAAACGGACTAAAACCAAGGAGGAGAAGGTGATCGCGGGAAGGGCACAGACAGGGACCTGTCCTGGGAGGCAGCCGAGCTTGTCCCAGGGCGTGGGTTCACATCCCAACTCTGCTGCTTCCTGCCTTCATTTTTCTCAGCCTCACTTCGCTCCTTTGCAGAAAGAGGAGGCTCGACCTCTTTCAGCTCTGAGTGTGAGGCTTAGCCCCATCTGCTTTTCCTTCCAGGCTCGGGAAGAAGCTGACTACATAGACTGGCTGAAGGGGCAGAAAGACCCTAAAGACAAGGAAGACCTGAAGGAGCTGGTGAGAAAGCGTTTCATTTCACTTCATTTCAGGTTGTCACTATGCATGAGGCACCCCCAGTACAAAGATAAAGATTTAACAGTCCTATTCCTCAGGGCGCTTTGGGAGGAAATAGCAGACACAAGTGTAGATTCCCAGGAAAATTGAGAGTGAGGGGCAGCTAGGTGGCACCATGGATAGAGCTCTGGCCTTGGAGCCAGGAGAACCTGACTTCAAATCTGGCTTCTGACACAAACTAGCTGTATGACCTTGGGCAAGTCACTTGACCCAGATTGCCTCACAAAAAGAAAAGTTGAGAGTGTCGAGTGCCAGCAGCTGAGGATCAGGGAAGTTTTGGAGGATGTGTATCTTGAGCTGAACCTTGGATAAAGATAAAGATTCTGGGAAGCCGAGATGATGAGCAAGTGTACTCCAGGCATGAGGCTTGGGCAGATGCTTGGAGGTGGGAGATGGAGTATCTGCTAGTAGGAAGCAGCTGGTAGTTCGGCTGGACTTGTCAGGCACTATGCTAGGCACTGGGGATTCAGTGATAAAATTGCAACAGGTCCTGCCCTCTTGGAGCTTTTATTCTGTTGAGGGGGGCCGGTGTATGGGGTATTCAAGGAGGACTAGCACCTCTGGTGTGAGGGCTTGCTGAGCACTTTCCAGGGCTGCTCCTACGCCTTTGGTGTCTGCCTGGTGCTCCATTCTCACCTGTGGCAGCCACACCCCAGCAGACCGTCTTGGCAGACAGGCTAAACTAGGTTGAGGGCAGCCAACAGGCCTCAGATCTGTCAGTGAGTTGGGGGGGGTATCTACCCAACCATGTGGAGACTTCCCCTGGTGGAATGGGTCAGGGAGAACAATTTGTTCTTTGGGCCATGGGCTCCAGCGTGCTGAGAGCTTGGTCAGACATCAAAGACGCCAAGGACACCCACTGCATCCCAGGCAGTCACTAGGCATCCTGACTTTTGTCCTGCCCCTCGACTTGGAGGACTCTGCAGGAGAGAGTGAGACTGACCACTTTGTGCAGCTGCCTCACATCTAATTCTTTTATAAATCAAGATATCACCTTCCTGATGTCATTGGCCCTCTTCAAAAATGAAGGCCCGACAACAACAAGTCGTGGGGAGAAATAAGGCACACATTTCTCTTGAACCCCTTTTCTGTCGAGATGCCTTATCACCCTCTCAGCCTGGATGTTGGGGTTAGCCCCAGTGTGAGGGGTCAGATTTTGTCCCTAAATTTCCTTAGTATGTGGGCTTCAGCCCTGACAGAATAAGGTTGGGCCCCACCCCTGGAAGAAGCATGGCAAGACTGACCCTTATCCCTGAAGATTCTCAGCTCCCGTCTTTTCCGTCCACAGACCCATCTCAAAGAGTATTGGAGCAACCCACAGCTGGATGATGGGGAGAAATTCCTGAGAGACTATATTCTGAATAGGGGCTATGAGGAGGAGGAGGAAGAAGAGGAGGAGGAAGAGAAAGAGTGAGCCAAAGCAGCTTTTCTCCAGCCCATCGTCAAAGCTGGAGGGTGGCTGGGGCTTGGGAGGCTGGGTGCAGCTGGGTCCAGCTGGGGATGAGGGGCTGAGCCTTGACTGCCTTTCTTTCCCAGTGCCAGAGGGCAGCTGACAGTGGAGGACTCCTCTGACGAGGGAGAGCTGTTCCTGAAGAAGCAGGAGGACTTTGAGAGGAAGTACAACTTCCGCTTTGAGGAACCAGATGCTGAGCAGGTGAGGACACGCTTCAGCGGTGTCTGTCACTGGGCTGTGTTGGAGGCTGTTCCTCCCATTAAACTGGCAGCTCCATGAGGGCAGGAGCCGTCGTCCGACTTCAACTCTGTATGTCCCCCACTGTTTAATGTGTGACAAGATCAGAGGGAGAAGTGCTGCAGTTGGAGTCAGAAGGGGCCCCGGTTCATCCTCTCTCTGACACTTGAGAGAGTCCCTGCAATCCTGTTTCAGTCTCTTTGACTGTAAAACGGGGGATCAGGCAGCAGGGTGGCATACTAGAGAGCTGGCCTCAAGAGTCAGCAAAGCCCAGGTCTGAGTCCTGCCTTGGACAGGACTGGGCTGTGTGACCCTGAGTAAGTCACTTAACTTTGCCTCCTCCGAGCAGCCGAGATAAGAAGTGGCAGAACAGTCACTCATCTTCATTGGGGAGGGAGTAAGTTTCTTCTCTAGGTCTTAAACTAAAAAGTTTTGTTTGTTTGATTTTTTTTTTAAGTGGAAAAATATCTGATGCCTGTCTTCCAGGGCTGTTGTGAGGAAAGGGCCCTGTCAGGGTGAATTGTTGCTCTGTGCCGTCCTTCCCACCCACCTCTGGCTCACACTAAGAGCCTCAGGAGGGGAGAAAGGAGAGCCTAGGTCCTCTGGATGTGGCTCAGGCCAGTGGTTTTCCCTCTTTTTCACAGGTAAAGACCTACCCCCGGACCATTGCCTCCTCTGTGCGGAGGAAGGACGAACGGAGGAAGGAAAAACGGGAGGCAACTCGGGAGCGCAAGAAGAAGGTAAGGAGCCCCGGGGGCTGCCCATGTGGGGTAGTGGGAAGGACACTGCACCTGGAGTCAGAAGACATGGGGCGCTTTCTCCTCTCTGGGCCTCAGTTTCCCCATCTGTAAAATGAGGGGAGTGGACTAGAGAGCCTGTGAGGTCCCTTGCTTTCTAGATTGTGATGCAGGAGCCCCAGGGGGGTGGCTAAACTAGACAGCAGGACCCACAGCCTTTTCTCCCTCCCACAGGAGAAGCAGAAGAAGCAGGAAGAATTGAAGCAACTGAAAAATCTGAAACGCCGAGAGATTCTGGACAAACTGGAGAGGCTGCGGGAGATCACAGGCAACAGAGATGCTGGCTTCAAGGAGGCCGACCTGGAGGGAGACTTCGACCCCGCCATGCACGACCAGCTCATGCAGGTGAGGCCTGGCTGGTGCTGGGACCTCTGGGCCAAACCGCGTGACACACTGTCACTGGGCTTTCGGGTCGGAAGCCCTCTGTTTAAGCTGTCCTCGGCCCCTTGGGCCCTTTCTGAGCTGTGGCTTCCTCACCTTTGGACCAAGTGCTTGATCCCAGCTCTCGGTTCTGTGGGGTCCCAGCTCCCCCTCAGGCTTCCTAGAACGCTCAGGCTGGAGTCCTGCTGATTAACACGCATTGTGATTACTCTTTTGGGTGTCCTCTCCCCCTTCTTGTCTCCCCCAGCTCCAGCACAGTGCTATGTGCACTGCTGCTCCTTTGCGGAGGTTTGGTGTGCTCCGTAACCTATTCCCCCTCCCCCCACCTTCTCACCTTCCCTTTTGCAGAAATGCTTTGGAGATGAGTACTATGGAATTGGAGAGGAGGAGAAGCCTCAGTTTGAGGAGGAGGAGGGGTGTGATGGTGAGTCCTTCCCTGTGCCTGTCTCTGGTCTCTCCCATCCAAGACTGGAGAGGGCGGACGCTGCCCAGGCAGCTGGCCAATCGACCGACTATCCCTCACCTTCTTTCTCTCTGTCAAACCAGATGAATGGAACTGGGACACGTGGACAGGGGCTGAGGAAAATGGAACCTGGGAGGAGGAGGAGGCAGCGGAGCCACACTGCGAGGACCCCAACTTCAATGTACCTTTCCCCTGACCCCAGTTTCCCTTTTGAGGCAGCTTGTGGGAACAGAAGTGTGGGCTTTAGTGGCTGGCCCCTGCTCCCTGCAGGGAGGCAGATGGCTGGGCAGATTCCTGAGCCCCCCTCCTGTGCCATCCTCTCTAGACCTCCCCACTGCCATCCCTCTGGCTTGTGTGATCTCGTCTAGGCCCTTTCCTTCCCCCTGAGCCTCTTATGACCCACGTGAACCTTTCTGGCAGATGGACGCAGATTATGACCCCAGTCAACCATCTGTCAGGAGTGGGAAGAAGAAAAAAAAGAAGTGGGATGTGCCGCTGACTGGCAAGAAGAGGCGGAAATCCCACTTTGCTGAAGTTGTCAGCCAGGAGAGGCCTGTCTTTGACCCTGGTGAGACCCAACGTACTTTTTTTCATATAATTGTCTGATGTTGAGTACCACAGTTACCTGTGGATGGCTTATTCCTTGCTAGGCTGAGCAGGGGCAGATCTTTGCACATCCCCTCTGCACTCAGTGAGTGAATGAATGAGTGGCTGAGAGCCTAGCCAGGTCTCCCGTCCCCTGCCCTGCTCCAGCTGAGCCTTTAGGCAGAGGGAGGCAGCCTGAAGTTCTGAAAGGGTCCCTGTTCTGTCTGGCCAGAGGACAAGACCTTTGAAGAGTACCTGGATGAGTACTACAGGCTGGACTATGAGGACATCATTGACGATCTGCCCTGTCGCTTCAAGTACCGCTCGGTCGTGCCCTGTGACTTTGGCTTGACCACAGAGGAGGTAGCTGAGTGGCGGGGGGAGGCGCGACCTCCCTTTCTTTCCCCAATTGTCCCGCCTTCCCTCTGTCAGACTGGCCCAGGGAGGCCATGCAGACACTTTGTGTTTCTTCCTGCCTGTGCAGATCCTGGCCTCGGATGACAAGGAGCTGAACCGCTGGTGCTCCCTCAAGAAGACTTGCATGTACAGGTGAGGCCCCCTGGGCTGGGGAGAGAGGCCTCCACATGGGTGGCTCAGCACTCTTAGCTCAGGGCATCAAATGCCGGATTTGTGGCTGTGAGCCCCTCTAGCTCCTGACCCACCAGTTCCTTTGCCTCTTCCCTCTACCTCACATGGAACTCATTTGCCAAGTTCTGTCACTTCTGCCTCCAAGTCAGCCTCCCTTTTGTTCCCTGTGACTGCCTCAGTTCAGGGTCTTGCCTCTTCTTGGCTGGACTACTGTTAGAATTGTCTCCAAGGTGGTCTTCAAGAGTCCAGTCTCTCCCTCTTCACCCCTCATACCCTAGTACTGTTTCTCATGCCAGAATGCTATCATATTCTTCTGCTCAAAAGTTGTTGGGGACACCCCCAGCCCTGCGCAGGTGATGCTTCAGCCTGTGTTTCCAGGCTTTGCTGTACCTGCTTCTCCCATTCCTGCATTCTTTGGCCCTTCCCTAGGTGCAGTGGACCCCCACCCATCTCTGAAGTCAGTCCCTACCCTCTCTAGCCCAGTTCCACTGATGGAAGGAACCTTCCCTGGGCCCCCTCCTTAGCTCTTTGATGGTGCTTGGTGTCTAGAGTCAGTTTCTTAATCTAAGGTCTGTGAACTTTTAAAATATGTGAATAAGTGTTTCCTTTGTAATCCTATATATTATATTTAAGACATTTAGAAACACTATTTTGAGATGGGGTCCAGAGCACAAACAAGGTTAAGAACCTCTGGACTAAAGCTTTCCTTTTCTCCTGTGAATGAGCTGGCCTCCTCTTCTAATAGGTTGTAAGCTCTTTGAGAATAGGTCTTATCACGTGGCAGGGGCTGAATTTGTTGAAAGCCCTTTTGGCCTGGGGAGAATCCCATGGCCCTGGGGAAGGAGCCAGGGCTCAGGCTGATGGGGCCCAACGGGGTCTGGGGTCTGCAGATCTGAGCAGGAGGAGATGCGAGAACAGAAGCAGTACAGCCTTAAGGCAAAGAATGTGCGGAAGAAGCAGCAGATACTGCAGTCTCTCGCCCAACTGTGAGTCCTGCGGGCTGGCCCCAGGCCCTAGGGTTGCTTTGGGACAAGCATAGACTGGGCAGTTTGGGGAATCCAACATCATGGGCCCTTTTCCTGAGCGAGGGCTGCAGGGCAATCTTAGGCTTCTTGTACCCTGCAGGACTGAGGAGACCTCTGACCCAGCACACACGCTCAGAAAAAGGGGCCAAGGACCAGAGTCCCTGGAGGAGGACAACAGGAAGAAGCCCAAGCTGGAGATCACCTCAGAGGAAGAAGAGGAAGAGGATTTCCTGGTACCCAAAGCTAAAGGCGTAGCCACCCTTTCTGCTGAAGGGATACAGAAGCTGGATGGGCCTGGGCCCTTATCTGGGACTCAGGTGGCCCCACCTCCAAGACACAAGAAAAGTCTTCGGGGCAAGAAGGGGGGACTTCTGGGGCCGAGGGTGAAGTTGGGGGGCTTTGAGTTCAGCCACCAGAGATTGCAGGCCTATGGGCTAAATGCAAAGCGGCTGCACTACCGCCAGCTGGGCCGGGAACGGAGAAAGGGGCACGGGCCCAGGCGCAGGTAGCAGCCTGAGCATCCCGGCTCTCTGGGGCTAGGGAAGATCTGGAGGTATGAAATAAAAGTAGGTTTATACACGATGCTGCTCTAGTGAGGGCCCCCTGCTGGGCAGGTCTGGAGCATGAGCCTTGCTTTCTGTGTGACCCTTTTCTGGGCCTAATTGCCTCTCTGGGTAAAATGAGGCTGAATGAACTAAATGACTTTGGTTCCTTTCAGCTCTTGATGTTGTGAATCCAACTGGTTGATGGCCTTGAAGGTCTAAATTCTAAAAGCTTCATGACACATCCACAGTCCCTCAGTGAGTGCTTGGGGAAGAGATGACTTGGTGGGGATATCTTATTTGGAGATGGCAGTCAGCATGGCTCTCCTGGACAGAGGAAAGAACTGGCAGCAGGTTTCCTAACCATTGGGATGGTGTGCCCTAGGAAGCACTGAAATGCATTCAGACACTTAGCAAGTAGAACTTTAATTTCACCCTTGGGCCACAACCCAGCCAAAGGGAAGGGAGCACTGGCTAGGCCCCCACTCTCCAGCCTAGGCTGATTTCCAGTGGAAACATGTTGCTACAGCAGAATCATAGCCTTCCCCACCCACCCACCCCACATACACACAGGGGGGTTAAGAGTGAAAGGTGTTGGGGGATCGGTAATCAGCCCCCAAACCCCCAGTGAGCCTGAGAATATTGCCACCCCCCCATCTGCAGGGACAAGGGGTAGCTCCATCACATGTATATAAATAAAAAATATATATATTACAGTCTCTGCTTCCCCTTCTCCCCACTATAAAAACACAAAGTCCTCTGAGCTGGGCCTCTTGGCCTTGCTCAGCTTCCCTGCCTGAGGCAGTCGGAGTGTTTGCTGTGTGAGCTGGGAACAGACCTCCTCCAGACCATACTCCTGGGCATGGCCCTCTGACAGGGTAAACATGGGATATCTCTCTGTGGCTGAGGAAGAGTTGAGTACCTGAGAAGAAAGCTGAGGTCAGAAGAGCTGCAGGTGCCCTACTGCTGCCCCCCTAAACCTAAGACAGGCCAGCTCACCCGGGTCAGCTCCAAGCACAGCAGCTCAAACTCCTTCCTGTTACCAGCATAAAAGCCAATCGTGCAACTGGGGTCCATCCTGCCGAAGGCCATCTTCCGGGGTGATGTGCAATGGAAGGACTAGAGACCAAAAGAAGGGTTTGGGCCAAGCTGCCCCGCCATTTCACCCCCTTCCCTCCTCCTCAGCCCAGCAATGAACTGACCTCCAGGGGGAAGTTCTCTTGAGAGGTATCCACGAAAGGCTGGCAGTAGTGTGGGTCGAGGTAGAGCAGAAAGTCATCTGCCAGAGGAAGCAGCCAGCTATGAGGCAGGGGTTCTGGGAGGCAGGGTGGCCAAAGGGAAGGGGAGGAGAGAAGGCGAAGCCTACCCTGATAGCCAATGAAGTAAAGTGAGTGCCGGGGCTTCCCACCGATGATTCCAATGCACAGTTCTAGCCGCAAGAGCTCCTAGGGGGAGGGGAGGGGAAGAGACAGTGCTCAAGACTGGCATTCCTCTTGTGGTGACCCTCAGACTTCAGGACAAAACTCTCCGGAGGCTCGGCTCCCAGGTCATGTCTGATCTGTCCCAAACATGGTTTGTTTTTGAAAGCACACTATGCTCTCAAAAAGAGTAAGTTGTTGGGTTTAAATCCTGCCACTTACTGCCTTTGTGACCTTGGGCAAGTAATTTTATTTCCCCAGGCCTCAGTTTCTTCATCTGTAAAAAAAAATCAGACTACATGGCTTCTAAGGCCCTTTCCAGCTCTAACTCTATGCTCTTGTGATTTTTTTTTTTGAGAGCAATCAGGGTTAAGTGACTTGCCCAGGGTCACACAGCTGTAAGTGTCTGAGGCCGGATTTGAATTCAGGTCCTCCTGACTCCAGAGTTGGTGTCATCTAGCTGCCTATAAGCTTGTGGCCTACATGGCTGACCCCACACAGAATATGTTTAGAGATCATCTAATTGAGTCCCCTCTTTTTACCGGGCATAAAAAGGACTGGGAACCAGAAGGTCACCTGGTAGGCAATAGTGGAGCTGGAATTCAAACTCTTAAATCTGGTCTTTTCCCATGCTGCCTCATGCTAATAAGAATGGGACATCGGGTCTTAAGCGTGAATGCAATGGCCCAGGACAGAAAATCCAAAGCCAAATGATCAGTACTGAAACAGTTTTGTCATTATATGAGAGACAGGGGCAGTTAGGTGGTACAGTGACTAGGACAGCCCTGGAGTCAGGAGGACCTGAGTTCCAATCTGACCTCAGATACTTACTAGTTGTGACCCTGGGCAAGTCACTTAATCCTGATTGCCTCCAAAATAACCAAAAACAAATGAAAAAATGAGAGATGGCTTCCCTACGGGACCAGAGCAGTCTGGATGGGAGCTAGATGCCAAAAGCCCCAAGAACCCTTCTCCCAAACCACTTGCAGGGTTACCAAGGGCTCCTACCTTGACACAGGGCACATATACAGGGTTGAGGGTCTCCCCGCCAAGCCTCACTGGTACCAGGATGACAATCGACTTCCATTCAGTGCTCGGGTCTGGCTGGGCCACTAGCTGTGCCACATCTGCCTTATAGACTGAGAAGACATTAACATCATCAGAGAAGAGGGGTGGGATACGATGAGAAGTCAGTTCAAATGTCAGTTCTGTTCATGCTTAACTGTGTGAAGCTGGACATGCTTCCCCCTCTGTAAAATGAGGGGGTGGGCCCAGCTAATTTCTAAGGCTTTATTAAGTGCCTACTGTATACAAAGTGGATCTCTCTCTCTCTCTCTCTCTCTCTTACCGTGTATGCCCCTCTGCCTAATGAATGACCTTCAGTGGCCAGGCTCTGTGGGCACTCTTTCCTTCCTCTGGCTTTCTTACTTTTTTGGTCTCCTCCCTCCTTATCAGGCTGCTTGCTGATTGCCACTTCTCCCTGTCCCTGGCCCCTTCTAATCGGCCCAAAGCTGGGGAACCAGATAACCAAGCTTGTTTGAAGTGTGTAGAAAGCGAGAGGCAACAGCTTCTGCATCGGGAAGTTTTCCGAAAAGGCTTTGTAACCTCTGGTTTCCCTACTCAGAGGTGCTCCTTCCTTCTGGGTTCCTGGTAAAGGTCTAAGAACTTCTGATTCTTTGAAGAATTTTCTTGCCCACAATCCTGGAAAACACTAGCTTCAAAGACTGAACTTTTCACCTTCCCTCCAAAACTCAACCCTCTCACTTTCCTATCTTCTCTCCACCCATGGATGGCTCCGCTCTTCTCAGTTGTCCAACCTGGAAAATGGAAGCTCATCGAATCCAGTTAGGTTGTCAGGTCCTATCCATTTGACCGTACCCAATCCCTCTCCTCTCTGGCCTTGCCCTGACAGTACCACTGCTAGCAGCCTAGCTCAGGCCCTCATCACCTCCCTGGTAGTCCCCAACCTGGACTACTGTAATGGCCTCCTCATGGGTCTCTAGTCTCTCCCCTTGTCAATCCACTCCTCAGACAGCTGTTGGAATAATCTACCCGCTGCAGAGATGTGACTATATCCCTCTACTCACGGACAAAATGCAACATCCTTGGCCTGTTTCTAAAATGGCCCTTCACAGTCTGGCTTCAACTTTCTAGCCTTATTTCACATGCTTCCTGTCAGTCATTCTAAAATCCAGCCAAACTATTCTTCAATCTGACCCTTTTCTTTCCTGCCCTCATATCTTTTTTTTTTTTTGGCTAGGCAATGGGGTTAAGTGACTTGCCCAGGGTCACACAGCTAGTTAAGTGTCAAGTGTCTGAGGCTGGATTTGAACTCAGGTCCTCCTGACTCTAGGGCCGGTTCTCTATCCACTGTGCCATCTAGCTGCTCCCTCATATCATATTTATGTGAGTATATAGCTCTTATCCCCAAATGAGAGTGTAAGCTCTTTGAGGGCAGGGCTTATGGAGTTTTCCATCTTTGGATCTCCAGCACCTTGCACATGGTAAGGGATTAACAGATGCTTAAGGAACTGAAAAACAGGGAAATTGAAGCTCAGAATGATCAAGGCTGAAGTTCTAGCAAGTATGCCCTGCCCCCCTCTCCTCCCTCTCACTAAAAGGCTCTTCCCACCACAAGAGATTGGGAGCAGTGAGAAAACAGGCAAAGCCTCAGCGTGGGCCTCTGGGGGCCTCCATTGGAGGTGCCTGGCCCCTTACCTGTACAGTCCTGAGAAACGTACACCTCCAGCTGGGCCACCTCTGAGCTGCTCTCCACAGCTTTCCTGAGGACAAGAGAGCAGTCCTGAGCTCCAGCAGCAATCCCTAGCCCCCACCTCTCCCTCCCAGCCAAGGGACTACCTCACCTGAGGATGTGAGCCACAACAGAGGGACCGTACCAGTCCCCTGCCCTCTTGCCCGAACTTCGGCCCAACTCCACCAGCCGGTGCAAGCCAAAAGGAGCCCCAGGCTGATCAGCAAACCAGGAAACGATGTGCCGGTGCTGCACCTCCTGCTCCAGCTCCCTGGGGCTCAGGGCCCCACTGGTGGTCCAGGTGGCCCGACCCAAGCCCAGGGCTGGTGAAGGAACCCGCTGCCAGCTTGCCCCGGCTCGAGAAGGAGACATGCTTCTGAGGAGCTCAGATTCCCTGAGGCCTGGGGGTAGAATAGCTTCTGACCAAGTCCAATCTGTCAGAGGGCAGAGGGTCAGGCCAGACCAGGACACTCATGTCCACCCTGCTTCTCACCCCCTCAGAATCTCCCAATGTCTCACCTCTGGAGAAGAAGTGCAGAAGTAGGCCCTGGGCCAGCAGCATCTGCCCACTACGAAGCATACAGCCCCAGCCACAGTCTGAAGTCAAGCTGCTACCCTCCAGTGGAGGGAAGTCCCTTCTGTACGTGAGCCACAGGCGGGATACAAAGTCCCTCTGGAATCGCTGAATGTCACCTGTAGAAGAGAATCTACTTGCAGGGGCCATGGAGGGCCCTTGACCCCTGCCCGAAGGGAGCAAGGCCTCTCTCATTCCCTGGCCCCTCCCATGCTCACCTTCCCCATCAAAGCGATACCGCCGGCCACACAGGTGCACAGTAGACAACTTGCTAAAGCTGGTCTTGGTTCGAACAGTCCAGCCTCAAGGAAGGAGATATGGGTTGGAGGGAAAGATAAGAAGGGGGGGGCGCACAGTCAGGCCAGCCTGTAGACTGCCCTCCCTGGGCAGGCAGGCTACCCTGAAAGCTGGTGACCAGAGGCTGAGTTTTCAGCTCTTAGTGTCTCCTCCCTCAGCAGGACTGCCCTAAGGTGGGCAGGTACCCAAGTGCCCAGCCACACCCCACCTTTTCCCACCACTAATCCCTTTTCCTTCCTCCTCCTCCCTCTCAGTTTCTCCATTCCCCTTATGCCCTCCCTCTCCTGCCCCTCCTGACCCATTCAGTCCTCCCACTCCCTGTCCTCTCCCACCAGGACTCAGCCTCCTCATTCCCCCCAGTCCACGATGCACAGCTCCCCACTTCCCCACGGGGACACCCCCAAGTCACCTTGTAGCTCCACCTCCCCTACTGTGCTCACCCTCCCGGGCCCATCCTTCCTTCTCTGGCCCCCTCCCCCCAAGCCCATCCTCACCATACTTGACATTGTTCCAGGCAGAGAGGAATTTGCTCTTGAGCTTGTCCACCTCGGCCGGCTCACTGGAGGCAGCAGGGCCCGGGGTGGCCGAAGCAGCTGCGCCGGCTCCCGCCACTAGGCCATTGTGGCCGCTGCTGCCGCCCGCTCCTCCTCCGCCTCCTCCGGCCCCCTGACCCCGGGCTCCGGGGGCCCGCGGCGGCTTCCTGGCCTCAGGGCGGCACACGTCGTCCTGGTTCCCGCTCCGGTACTGCACGGCGGCGGGCGACACGGAATTCATGGGCCTCGGTCCGGCTCCGGCTCCGGCTCTGCCCAGCTGCCGCGGGGCTGTTGGCGGGAGAGCCGGGGCTGGGGTGAGGGCCCGGGCAGGGGCCCGAGGGCTGCCGGGCATTCCCGGACCCCACCTGGGTTCCCTCCCCTCCCCCCGTCTGCTCCGCCCCGCCCCCTCTACCTGGGCGCTCATGCCCCGGCGGGGGCAGAGGCGGGAAGGACGGGCCGCGGCTCACTCGGACCAGGAGCCCGGCCCGGCCGCCGCTGCCGCCCAGCGCCCGGCTCCGGCTCCCGCGGGGGCCCTGACTCCGGCTGCCCCGGGTGCGCTCGCCAGCGCCATCTTAGCGGCCGCTGCTCGGCTCCCGGAAGGCCGGGCCTTGCGAGGCCCCGCCCCGGGACCTGCCCCCGCCGGCTGGCCCGGCCGACCCGGCGTGCGGGCGGGAGGGGCCGGCCCCGGACTGGGAACCTCCCGGGCCACTAAAGCCTCGGGGCGGGGCGGGGCGGGGCGGGGCGAGGCGGGTTCTGGCCACAGTCCAAGCCTGGCCGAGCTCCGAGTGCGGGTGTAGGGTCCAGGGGAACCTGTGCGAGGCTGGGGGCGGGGGGGTAGAGAGAGGTCTAGGGGAGCCAAAGAGGGGCCAGGATCCTGGTGTGAGCCTAGGGTCAAAGGGAGCCTATGCGAGGTGGGGGAGATGTGGGGAGATGGAGCAAGGTCAAGGGGAGCCGAAGCGGGCCGGGATCCTGGTGCGGGCCAGGGTTCCAGGAGAGTGGGTGCGAGGTGAGGGGAACGGGGCAGGGGAGAGGGGCGCTGAAGAAAGGTCAAGGAGGGCCGAAGCTGGGCCGGGCTTCAGGTGCGGGTCTGGGGTCAAGGAGAGCCTAAGCAAGGCGGGGGGCGTGCGGAGACTAGAGTAGGGGAGACTGTGTAGGGCTGGAATCAGGGGGGCTATGAGGGATTAGGGTGCGGCCAGGGTCCCAGCACCCGACGAGGGTCAGGGGCTGGGGAGCGGAGCTCCGGACTGGGGGTCCTAGGGCTGGACGTAAGCCTGGCAGACGGGGCTGTTTCCGGATATCGCCTTCATCCCGCTTATCAGCCCTGGGCAGTGGGCCGCTCCACAGGCACCGCACCCTGGGAGCCTTATCCCGCTCCAACTCATCCACACTGGGCGCTTTCCTCGGGGGCCGGACCTGGTGCTCTCAGGTACCAGAGCCTGCCTCAGCTAGGGACTGAGCACCATCGCAAAGCAGAGGATATATCCGTTGGACCCAGGGTCTCGACTCCTAGTAGCTCAAGTGGCTTCAAGCCCAAGTCCTGCCCAGTCCTATCGTTACCTCTGGGTCTATAGTCTGAAAGCCATTAGGGATGGATAGATAGTCCTGTTTACCCAGCTGGTCTTAGAGAGGAAACTAGATGAACAGGGGGCGCTCTTGGAGTGTAAGAGAAGAATCTGAGAGCCATCCCCAGCTGCTTTGCCCCATTCCTTCTCTCATTAAGAACGCCTCTCTAGTCAGTCACCAGCTCCCTTCCACTCTCTCTTTTCTAACATCCTACCCCTCTCCTTTCCGTACCTTCTTCCCCCAGTCCAGGCCTTTCTAACCCTAACCTGGACTATTGCAATATCCTTCTACCCTATCTCAAGACTCATGTTCTCTTCTCTACTTATTTATCCTGCACATGGAGACGGGATTATTCTTCTTAATGCACAGTTCTGTTCCTGTCACTTTGCTCCAGAGCCTTCAGGAACTCCGCTTTGCCCACAGTAAAGTCCAAGCATCTTTATTCGACTTATGAAGCCCATCATGATCTGTTCCCAACCCCTCTTGAATCATTCATTCAACAAACATTTGTTAAACACCAGGATGAGAGGCTGCTCGGTGTAGGGGATAGGAAGCCCTCCTCAAAGCAAGGAAACCTTAGATTCACCTTGCTCCTCCGCCCCCTATTGGCTGTGTGACCCTGGGCAAATGAACCTGTCGGGGCTCTAGGAAACTCAAACTATAAACTACAGAGAAGGTACTGAGTTGCATGGATAGAAGGAGTTTCCTTATGGAAGTTCTTTATACCATGAAATCTCAGGTCCTATCCCTATCCCCTATTCAAACTAACACATTACTCTAAAGTTCCTCAACTGCTTTATAAATATGATCTCATTTGACTCTACCAGAGTTTTTACTCGTGAGGTGGATGCTACAACTATTACATAGTTCATCTAATAGAATAGCTTCAATTTACCAATGAGAAAATGAAATCTCATACACACACACACACACACACACACAGTTCATTTACTGTGGAACACAAAGTAAAGCATTGCCACCTGCCTGCTGGACATTTCCACCTGGATGTCCAGTGGCATCTTAAACTCAAAAGGAGACAGTCAACAGGTATTTATTTACATACCAGCCACTGTATTAAGCTCTGGGGATACAAAGAAAGGCAAAAACAGGATCCCTTCCCTCAAGGAGGTCACAGTCTAATGAAGAAGACAACAGCAAACTAATATGTACAAACAAAGGAGATGATAGGAGGTAATAATCTCAGAGGGAAGCAGTGGGAAGACAGGGAAGGGCCTATTTATTGCAGAAAGTGCAATCTGAGCTGAGTCTTCAGGGAAATCAGGACCTGGGAGTGAGAAGGGAGGTCATTCTAATGAAAAGGCAAGGAGTCAGGAGACAGAATACCTTTTGTGAGGAAAAGCAAAGAGGTCATCGAAGCTTCATCTTAGAGTGACTGGAGGGAGTTGAAGACGATGACAAATGTAGGAAAAGGCCTGGTTGTGAAGGGTTTAAAATGTCGAACAGAAGATTTTATATTTGATCCTGGGTCCTGGAAGTAATAGGGAGCCACTGGAGTTTTCTGAGAGGGGTGTGTGTGACATGGTCAAACCTTCAATTTAGGAAAATCACTGGAATGAGACTTGAGGCAGGAAGAACATGTCCAAAATGAAATGCATTGTCATTCCCTCTTAAACTTAAGCCCCCTCCAAAATTCTTTCTGTTGAGGCACCATTATCCTCCCAGTCACCCAAGTTTATAATCTTTCTACCATCCAATCAATTACTAAGTCCTGTCAATTCTATACCCACAACCTCTTTCTCACATGCTGTTTCACTCATTTGTCAGATTTTTTTGTTCAGAACTGTCAAATTCATGCAGTTGAGAACCTCTTTAATAATATAATATAATATAATATAATATAATATAATATAATATAATATAATATAATATAATATAATATATAATAAAGTGGGAAGCTTTTACATCATCAATCGATTTTATTCATAGTATGAAAAAAAACTTTATAAGTACAACAAATATAGAAGAACATTAGGTATTAGGATAGCGAGCAACCTTTTTTTATCTTAGTAATTTTATTATTTCAACAAATGAAAATTCTTTCTCCCCCACCTCTTCCCTTTCCCCAATGAAAAAGAACATTAAAACACCGCTCTTAAAACATAATATAGTCAAGCAAAATAAATTCATGTATTGGCCACGTCCCCCCCAAATATCTTAATCTGCACCTCAAATTCATCTCCTCTCTATCAAAAGGTGGGTAGCCTTTAAAATGATAGCTGTAGTCAGTCATTTCATTGATCCAATGAAAGCCTTTCCAAATATCAACAAGCACCTAGTTAAGTACCTTCTATGTGCCAGGCATTTCACTAGGCACTAGCCCTACAGATAAAAATTAAATAGTTCTGCTCTCAAGGAGACAACATGGACAAATTTAAGACAAAATAAATTCAAGGTAAATTTAAGGGGACACTAGCAACTGTGGGGAGGGGGTAAAGAAAGGCTGTTTATAGAAAGTGACCTTTGAGCTGAAAGGAAATAAAGTCTTTTCAGATTCAGAGGTGAGATAGAAGTGAATTCAAGAGATAGGGGACAGCCAGTGCAGCAGTATAGAGGTGAGAAATGAAGTATTGACCATGAGGAAAACCAAGAGACTGTGGAATGTGAGGAGGAAAGTAAGGCACAATAAGGATGGAAAGGTAAGCTGAGGCCAGCTCGTGAATGACTTTAAGAGCCAAACAGCTTTTGATCCTGAACACAAGAAGGAGCCACTGAAGTGTACTGAGTCATAATTGTCCTAGGAAAAGTGCAGACCCGATTGGACCCAGCAGGATTCCCGCTGGTGAGAAGCCTTAGAGACAGCCCAAAGGACCAACCTTAAAAGTCAAATTCCAGGGTAGCTAGGTGGCGAAGTGGATACAGCACCAGCCCTGAAGTCAGGAGGACCTGAGTTCAGATGTGACCTCAGACCAACTGCTTGACACTTACTAGTTGTGTGACCCTGGGCAAGTCACTTAACCCCAATTGCCTAAAAAAAAAAAAGAGTCAAATCCGACTTCATATACCAGCTCTATGGCCTTATTCTAGTTCATCAACTTCCTGCAGGTTCAGTTCCCTCATCTGTAAAATGGGGGGAGGGGAATACTGGTGATGATCTCATAGAGTCCTCATGGAGGACAAAATGGCATCATGTATGACAAAATGATATCATGTATGTGAAGTGCTTTGTAAACCTTAGGATCATTGATTGAGAGATGGAAGAGATCTTTACTTTAGCAACCACTTGGTACAACCTTCCCTCCCCCTTTCCCCCATTTTACAGAGGAAGAATCTCAGACCCAAAGAGATTAAGTGACTTGCCCTAGTATTTATACATAGTGACAGAGACAAGATGTGAACCCAGGTCTGATTCACAAGTCAGGGCTCTTTCCATTGTAATGTATTGCCTTAAAAGCACCATATCAATGTTAGCAATCATGATATACTTCCTCCTCTCCACTTACCTGGCTACCACCCTTCTCACAGGTACTTAGTAACGTTCCTCTTCACTCCTGTAATAGCATTCTAATTGACCTCCCTGTTTCCACTTTCCCATTGCTTCAGATCAAATGGGATCTGCATTCTCCTCAGTGTGGGCATTTCCTTCTTCAACGAAGATCACACAGTCCACGAGTATCTTCCCATCCTGTGCACTCCTCTGTCCATGTTTCCTCATAAGGGTCCTCTCAGTATTCCAGGGGCCTTCCTCTATCTATTTAGCAATGGGTCTGTTTACCTGTGGGGGCCATCACCATTGGTCTGGACCTATGTATTGCCACTGGGCTTCTATGACTCTGAAGGGGAGAGTGAGGCTGATGACTTTGCACAGTTCTACCTCACCTAAATCCAATTCACTTTCAAGTCAATAGATCACCCTCCTGATGGCCTTGGTCTTCTTCAAGAACTAAGGACCACTCTCTATTCACCTGTATTAGACACTTGCCTCTTTCTTTTTCCAGTCATAAACTCCCTCTCCTAATCTATGATATCTCTTACTCTGCTCTTTCTGGTTAGGTCATTCTTGGA